CCCCCCCCCCCCCCCCCGAAGTACCAAATTGCTTTACATCCACACAGCTTAACACCAGCAAGATTGTAAGTGGATTTTTGAACGTTATATAACACTCCAGGGCCTCGCAAAGCTTCCTTGAAAGTTTAAGACTTAAATTTGGTCTGTGTTGTGATCTAATTGCATGCTAAAGTTGGTGATATTTTGGAAGAAATCGCCAACTTCAACTCGATTTGACTTGTTCCTGTCTCTTTGGAAATTCGCAAAACTTAGAGGAGAGGTACTTTCATGTATGCAAAACGTGTTTCTAGCTTTAAACATAAAAATTACACGTGGTGTTGCGATGAAATTGCATTGCGCAGCGCAAGAGCTGCCATTTTCGGTACTTTGGCGGGGGACAAATCTTAAAAACGGGGGGAAAAATCAAGCCAGCCATTAGTGCTTTATACATACGATTTTGTAAACACTGAAGGAGTCTTGACAGATACTCATCAAACGGGTGCGTTGATATCGATAATAAACCGCTTGTCCGATATTCTGTAACCCTCAATCCACTGCACTGCTTCTTTGTTGTTCCTGCACGAATGTAGATGACCAAACCCGTTTGTTCCCTTGTGATCTCCAGGCCTTGTACCGCCTTCTAACGTCATATCGCTATTACAGAGGATAGCTTGCCGAAGATAGTCGAAGCAGTGGTTCGTATGAACCGAACTGTGACCCTCTTCAATTTGGTTCTCAGTCCCCTTTGAACCGTATCTTATTACCTGATCGTAGGCATCCATGATGTAATAAAGACAGTGTAGTTGATGTGTCCAGGAAACCTTCCATAACGGTGTGCCATTGGGATCAAGGAAAGGCTCACTCAGGTCTTTATAACGAGTGTGTTCGGGAACATGGATATTGCCACCACCTTCTATATGTAAACATTAGTTCCTTTAACTCCCATACTCAATTTTGTTTTCACGAGTTATTGTGGACATACTAGGGAGCAAGGCTTGCCATCTCTGTCTCACGATTTGTGCCTCTTGACTAGATGTGTAGTTCAAAGTAGAAATATCCAAATGTGGTTCAAACTTGATACGCTCTTCGGAGACTAAAAGCATTATTAGATTCAAATCAGAATGTTACGGTTCAAAACCTATGACTCACATCTTGGAACGAAATGATTGACGTCTCCTCCAAAATCAGTTTCTAATTTAAACTGTATGAGCACTCCCAAGATGGAAATGAGCAAGACCAAAAAAACGATATTGATGGAAATTTGGATCCATCTCAAGAACCCGCGGGTCTTACTCTGGGCGTTTGACTTTTGCTGTATCAGAGATGCCAATTCGTTCGACGAAGATTCTTCAGAATATCTCGTAGACATGATGGGCTTTGGTTAGTGCGCAAATAAAGCACGTGTTAATGATTATGAAAAGCCGGCTCTCGGACAAAGTAGCGGCGGAATATGTCTGATGTTTCAATGGCTTAATCGTAAATACGTTGACTAATTCCTACACAAGCAGTTGCAGCTTCCGGTTTTTGTAAGCAGGCGACCTCTGATCCCATGCTCCGCCCCTGTCGCTTAGCGGTAATCTTGCTCAAATACTGCGTCGCTGACAGAAACTAGCACTAACTTAGCCTTATTTCAAGCTCTTAGACTAATCAATGCACGATATTCACATAGTTTGACTTTCCTTAGACAGGTATACCCTAGGCGAGTCCTTGTCCTATGCGGGATGACAACTGGGCTACGTGTGCAAAGTCGAAGCTGCAAGTGCATGAGAGCGTAGTGCCACCTCCCAGGATGGTTAACAGATAGAAAAATTTGGGATGCCGCACTTAGACCGAGACATGCATGGACAATGAAAAAGGGAATGTGTATCTCCGAAAAACCTGTGCCAATGATCCTTCGACATAGAAATCGCGAATATAATGGACGCAGTGCATCATTGGAAAGAGCGGGTCGTCCTGCACAGATCTATTGAACCAAGAACCATAATACCTATAGATCGATGATCTTAACACCCTAGTGATCTGTACTTTGCACTCTCACGATCGACCGGATAACTCATCTCAGTTCATTGGACCGTGCTGGCACGCGGTACACACACAATTTATTTACGCCCGGCGGCCGAGCCGAAAGGGCTACTAACGCTAGTCTAACTTGGCACGCGGTATATGGTGCATCAAAAGGCGGCATCCCTTAGTGCTTACGACATTTAACAAGGCTTTTTAGCCAACGCACTTCTTCCAAATGGAGTTTTTACGGAAAATCTTCCGCGTAAGCTCAACTCTTGGCGTGTTATCCAAGCTCACCGCTTTAATCTAGTTCAGTTGTAGTTCTCCGCAAATGCTACTCGTTGAACCAAGATCTTGGTTCTATCACCCAAACCAAATTACAGCAATGGATAATTCTACTCACGATTGTAGAGAAGAAGCGATGACACTTTTGGATGACGAAGTTGTATCGACGCGCGCCACAACTCCGAAGCGAACATTCCAATGGGGGTTGTTTTTGTCTTGCATGTTAAATTTGATTCTTCTATCAGCTTTGCTTTATTGGATGAAGACGCCCCCCCAATCACTTCCTGCTTTGAAAACTTATTGTATAGTCTGCAATCTTTATCTGCAAGTGTTTTGTCTAATGTATATACAGCACCAGCGTATAGCGCGATCCAGTACGAGACCCGTGCATTTTTCCCTGATTTTGGAAGAATGCCTTCAGAATATCAGGGTTGGCCTAACGACCACCAAGATGCTCTGTGGGAGGGACTGCATTCGAGTGAGTATCAAAGCTTCAGATGTCCCAGTGCTTCGGTAACAAACTACAGAGGGTCGAACTATTCAAATCAGCTCTGAAGAGAATAGTATGCTTTACAACCCGTCGATACATGTACCGATGGTCGGGCTTGAAGATCAATATATGATTGGTCTAGATGTTTTTCACCAGTTACATTGTTTGGTATGAGTAGTTGAGCCTCTGATTGAAGAGATTTCTAAGTAGAGACAACAGGATACTATACGCAAATCGTTTTACCCAAGGAGGTATAACATCACCCTTCTCAAGTCAGATGGAACGGTCAACTATGTCCCATGGCTTCACGTTGGTGCGTTTCTAGCAATCATCAGCAACGCCATAGTTTCAGAACTGACGATTAATTAGATCATTGCATCGAGTCTATCAGGCAGTCGCTGATGTGTAATGCCGATGTGACTCCTATGCATTACGAGTGGAGCGATGAAATTAAATCTGTAGTACCAAAGATAACAGTGACGCACGTTTGCCGCAACTTCGACAAAGTTAAGAAGTGGGCTGCAGATCGATGGGTTGATTGGAAGTGGACAGATAATCGGAAGGTTGTAGAAAACGGTAAAGTGAAAGATTATTCAAATTGGAAAGTCGAGACAGAAGAACATCCTCTTCCCAATGATTGGGCTGAGAATGAGCGTGCGAACGAATTCGTTCAATAGTCGGTCATAGTAGATGGCCTTAAATAAAATACATAATTCGCTAGTTATATCCTTTGCTCAATCATGATACAAGGGCTTCACCTCCGTCGATTCCGGTCGATTCGTCTTCCATGAATAATCGCAGACTGGGAACTTTAGGTGTAGTAGGCTGTTGAAAAGGTAGGGGTTGACGTTTGGACGTGCCATCATGTTCGTACAATGCTCGTTGTGGTGCCAGTCTGAAGTCCAATTATCCATTGGCCGATCGAACATGACAGAACGAAGGTACTTCTTCAGAATGAATGAGCAATGTGCCATGTGTTGATACCACGGAACCCAAGCAGCCTCAATGTCACCAGAACGACATTGTTGGACAAATGACGCGTTGGTTGCAGAACTATCGTTTGCTGCCCAAGAGAATTCCCATCCATTGTAGGAATTCCAGTCGTGACCGAGTTCCTCATCGTAGCATTGTGGTGGTACCCAAGCGAAGTTGTGTATCTCAAATTGACATCCCCGTTTGCGGGCTTCCTCTGCCGTGGTTCCGCAGTGATTGAGAGGGCGATGTCCCGAGTTTGTTTGTTCCATATCTTTGAAATGCGAATCCGCTCCACTGACGTGAATAATACTCATAATAGTAGCGATTATAGCGATGGCAGACACCATTGCTATAGATATGGTCTGCCACCGCCGCAAACAACATAGTTTAGAAGATTTTTCGCTATAGGTCTCCGCAATATCTTCCAAGTCCATAGAGGAAGCCCTTTGGTACCGATAAGAATGTTTCGAAGGCATAGCTGAGCAAAGAATAAACCGTATCAATGTAATGTGTAGCAACAAATGAGGTTAAAGTATGTGTCATATTTCAATGTTTTCCCATGAGATTATCAAAACGCAGAACCTAGATGCACCAAAGTGTGGCTCGATTGTCACATGCAACTATAGCCCTGAAACACGGAGTGTATATCCACATTGAGACACGTTAATTTGTATTCGGCACACAAGGGTGGAAGTTAGTACGACCATTTATTCCGTGTCGGTCGGAGCTAAGTCGGTGATTACCATGCGTAAGTGATATGCACTAATGTATGATTGCCAGCAGGCGATATAGCTCCGAAACTTGATCACATGTGTGTAACTTCGGTCAGCTGTCGAAACTATTTAACTGCCATTACTTTCATCCACAAATGTACGAGTGATACGAGCAATCAATTACTACGTACACTTTATCTCAGTCATTCAACGCCAATTAGCGATACTAATTATGCAGTTATACAATATCCAATCCACTATTCTCCTTCTTGCGGCTCTTGGCGCTAAGGCTGCCCCCGTGCGTACGTGTGAACTTTCTCGAATCTTATCTCTTGATTCTGATGTATATGATATAGCCGGAGATGTGGAGAGCAAAGTGCCTACCACGTCTGATCCTGACCCCAACTTCGCTTACTACAACTTCAAGCGAGAGGAGGTGAAGAAGGCGGCAGACGCTGCTGACCCCGATCCGAACTTCGCTTACTACAACTTCAAGCG